TATAAGTTAAATATTAGAAGATAAAAAATAATATTTTAATAAGATAAATATAAATAAATAATAATAATATTATGTTTATTAATTTATATTTTTATGTAAATTTATATAAGGTAGAAGATGAAAATTTATATTTTTATGTAAATTTTTATAAGTTATAATTTTAGAAATTTTATACTTATAATAAGTTATAATTTGAAGAAGTTAGAATTTTAATAAGTTCTAATTTGAAGTTTAAAAATTTAATAAGTTAGAATTTGAATAAGTTAAATTTTTCATAAGTTAAAATATAAATGTTATAATTTGAAAAAGTTATATTTATAATAAGTTATAATTTAAATTAAGTTATAATTTATAATAAGTTATAATTTATAATAAGTTATAATTTTAATAAGATATAAACTTAATAAGTTAGAATTAGTTATAATTTATAATAAATTATAATTTTAGTAAGTTATAAATTTAATAAGTTAGAATTGTTTATAATAAATTATAATTTTAATAAGTTATAATTTGAATAAGCTATAATTTTAGAAAATGTAATTTATTTTTAAAGGTTTTTGAAAATTTAAAAAATGAAAATAGTAAATTTGAAATGAATTTTAAATATATTATAATTATTATAATATGTAATATTATGTTTAGATATTTATTTAAATATGTGGTAATATTATATTTAGATATTTATTTAATTAAGTCTAAGTTGATATTTTAGTGAACTACACTAAAGTATATGTAAACATTTTCTGAAAATGAACGTTTTTGAATGAGGTGGATACTTGCTATTTGAAATTTTTGAATTAAAAAAATTATAACTTGCAAGGAAGCTTCACAATGTTTTACATACAATTATTAACTATCTCCGTAATGGTGGCTAGTTCCACAACGAGGACATCGTCTGTTACGTGGTGAATTTTTTCGTTATGGTTCTTGCTCTTGGAATCCAGGATCAAGTTGTGGAGGATTTGGGTCATTTTGAAGGATCATTTGTTGGAAAGCATTTGAGGAACTACCAGGTTCATTTGCAAAATCCAGTTGATAAAGAGACTGCATGTAACTTTGTGCTGAAGATGGAGTTGTAAAATCAACTCCAAATAAGTTTGTAAAAAAGTCATCCAAAGTAGTTGCAAACGAATGCCTTCTATCAATTATGTTTGTTTCAGGCATGATATTTGGTGGAGGAAATGATGTAGTCTCGTGATAAGATCGTGTGGAAGATGTACCGGTATCAAATGATGTGATAGTCTGTAGTTGTTGATGGCTCATCCTTGGATCTTGTAGTAGTGGTGGCACAGATAGAAAATGGATGGAATTGGTAATGTACCATTCCATTTATTCTCGTGTGGGACACAATGAGCCTTGCATTGGATGACTCGTTAATGTCAATTCACGCCTATTGTTCCACACATCTATCCATTGTGTGTGTTTTATGATCCAATTTTCATTGTCTTCCTCTCATGTCAATTGCGTGGAGATCGTCCAAATTGTTAGGTGCAGAAGGGACTTCTTGGAAGAGCCTAAACTATAATCTGACTCTATCTGTTTGATGCCATTCAACAATTGCAAAGCAAAGGATGGTAGTACATAAAGTCCACAATTGTGCATCTCTATAAGCTTCCATGGGTATTGAGGGTTGCAAGTCTTGATACGCGGCCATAAAAACTACAAAATAATATAACTTTTGTTAATTAAGATAAGGCTAGATGAGATTGAGATGTAGTGTGATTGTGGCAAGTTCCAGAAAGTTCATATCCCTTGCTCACATGTACTTACTTCATGCTTACATGCACGCCACGACTTCGAAAGCTACATATCTCCCATATATACCTTACAACAAGTTGCGAAGGTATGCGAAGGTCAATTTAGAGAGCTTCGACACGAAGATTATTGGCCTACTTACACCAACCCAACTTTGTGGCCAAATCCAGAATTCAAGAAAACTTCCAAGGGTCGGCTCAAGTCCAGTAGGATTAGAATAGAGATGAACATCAGAGAACAACATAATCGTGTAAAAAATTGTTCCTATTTTCATACACCTGGTCACACTAGGAAAACATGTCCAAATATTGATCATACATTTAGTTCTCGCCATCATTAATTTTTGTTGTTGTAATGAGTTTTAAGTTTGATAATGTAATTGATTAATTTTAAAAATGTCATTGTAACTTCTAAAAAAATTTCTATTCCTCAATTATTTTCATTCGATATACATTTTAAATTAAAAATAATTTTAATTTTTGATAAACAAATATATTTAATATTAACTAACTTATTAAATTTTATCAATTCTGATAAAATAATCAATTATATAAACATAAAATTATTTTCATTTTTATTTAACTTATAACAATAATACTTTTCATCTTCTAACTTATAAAAATTTACATAAAAATATAAATTTTCATCTTCTAATTTAAATAAATTTACATAAAAATATAAATTAATAAACATAATATTATTATTTTTCATTTATGTTTATCTTATATATTATTTTTCATCTTCTAATAATTAACTTATTCAAATAATATAAAGAAAATACATAACTATTTTTTTATACATGTTTCTTTTATCATACTTAAAAAACTATTTATTTAATTTTATTATTATAAATATATTTTAATTAT